CAGACTACCTGCAGCAACAGCAACTCAGAAAAATATGGTGCAGTGAGCGCCTAGAAGAGAACACCAATTGGAATTTGTTATGTTTACTGATGAGTTGCGTTTCTGCCTGTATAGTGATAGTGCGCCGAGGAGTCTACCGAGGACGGGGATGCGTACAATGTCCCTTCAGTGCAGTTTAGAAGACGCGATGTAATGGTTTGGGCTGGGATTGACAGCAGAGGACGAACTGTACTCCATATTGTTGAACGTAACCGCAGTTCGTTATATCCAAGAAATTATCGAGGAATACATCCCTCAAACCATGGATCTCATTGGCAGGGTTTTTCGATTTCTGGATGACAATGTCAGACCTCATAGAGGCAGAGTTTTTCATCAGTATTTAGAAAACTTGGGAATTTCCCATCTTTCCCTTGCCCTATTGACTCCAGATCTTAATCCCATTGTGCATATATGGGATGCGTTGCAGAGAGGGCTTTTCGATCAGCCAATTGACCTGCAACAACTATAGAGTGAAATTCTTTATGAATAAATGAAATTATCAACAGTATGCTTAACAGGTGTACAGAGTTTTAGCTAACAGGGGATCAAAGAAGTGGGATTTAAATTCTCATTGATTGGTGGCTCGAATGACGAACTATCTCCTAAACGCAGTAGTACTATGATCATCAGTATATGGGACAGAAGGCTGGGAGCGAGTTTGACAAGAGGGTACAGATGATTAGAAAATGAGATGCATGGAGGGAAACAGGAATATACCATCTGACACAAGAAGGGTATTGTCACCTCCAGAAGGGACCGCCATACAAAACAATTCAGTAGATGTATAAGGTTGTCTTCAACCTCCAACTACCTTCGGTCCAGTTTTGCTGTTGTTCTGGATTTGATGCTTATCTAGATCCATCCCAATGCATATGATTACGGTTTAGATAAGAAGAGTATAAGGTTATAATAGATTGGAGATGGAGTAATGCGAGGTAGGTCATATTTTACGATTTCTGGGTGATGAGTTTGATTCGCTATTTTTGTTACCCAGTTTAAACAGAGGGAGGTAACTAGATTGGTTGAAAAAAATGAAAAATTAAACATGGGAGTAAATGCATAAATAATAAAATAGTTCTTGAATTACTTCTTATTTTAAACATGTACTTAAACAATATTAGACATACAAATTAATAGTTAATTTAAAATTATTCTTTTCCAATATTTATTAGGATAATATTTAGATGCGTTGTAGTTCACGTTTTTTGCGTGTTGAAAATTGAGCAGCATTAAAAAACCAGATTCTTATTGTAAGGTCGCGTTGGCGGTGGATAGACTGTTTCACTCTGACAATTTATGCCGAGAGACGTGTTTGTAAATCCTTCAACCTGATGATGTGCATTAGTGCTTGAAATCAGTATCGATGTAAACAACGGAAATATGTGAGTAGAACCATAATTTGCAAAGGTTAATCTACATACTCATCCCACCTTCATCATTTCTACATAAAGCGAATGTCACTTTTCAATATTGTTTAGAGATGGTTAGGGATGTTATCAAATAGCTACAGAAGCGACTACGGATCTTACGTTGACACCTCAGATGGAAAGAAAGCCTATTTCCTCACTACGGAAACAAATTAGAAAAAGGACAATCGACAAATGGAATCAAGAATGAGAAAAGAACAATAAGGGGGAATGGACAAAAAGTTTCTTTCCATATGTTAAAGATAGAATAACAACTGACATCCAAAGATATTTTAAAATAACTCAGACACTTTCAAACTATGGCAAACATAAAGCGTATCTTAAGCGTTTTGGTTTCGAAGAAGCAGCTGCCAAACCAGAGGGATACAAAATTGGGAACACCTGATATGCATATGTTCATTCTATGCAGTGACTCACCACTGATAAAATCAGTACTCCAAGAAGGCGGCAACTGGCCTTTAACCCGACCCGAACTAATAGGAAAACATCAAAAGATTTTAATTATATAAAAAAATAGATTTCAGATTAATTTAAAACAATGTAATCATAATTTTTAACTAAGTTCAAAATCTCTATATGTGTTTCCTTTTTGCGAAAATAAATGTTATATAAGTAAAAAATAATAATTGTTAAAGTAAATCATTTTAATGAAATAATATGCCAAAAATGAACAAAACTAAAATATACAAAGTATAAATAAATGTAAAATAAACTCGCAATCTTAATGGGAGCGGGTTGATTCTATCTTGCAAGAAAAATAAAAAATAAATTCTGTTGTTTGAACGATTTGTTCGAATATATGCCTAAGTAGATTTTTCAAACAATAAGAACTTTTTGAGTAAACAATGATACACATTACCATAATATAAAGACCAACGACTTGGTACGCAAGCTTATTACATTAAGTTCCAACTTAAATATTGTTGTTAACCATTTACACCATTCAAACAAGGATTTCGGTATCTTTCAATTTAGAAAAGTAAACCTCAACTAAAATTAAGCATTATATCACATATTTGTACAACTTGCAATTATAATCATAACTTTTTCTGGACTGGTGACCATCAACCAATATTGTTCGATCAGTTGGATGAATGTGAATCATGACTTTTTGTCACAATGTAAGTGACGATATAATTGCACTTAAGGTCAAAAGAAACTGTTCTTGTGTGGATGAGAATAGAACATAGCAGACTCATTCATGGGTATCTTATGAGCCGTGGACACCGAACGGCACAGCACGTGGCTTCTGGTAACTGTACAGCACATGCTCACTAAACGTATAACGTATGAACAATTGGGAAATAAATATAAGCGGACGAGCGATATTTATGACACTCTTAATGATCACAGCCACAAATTTTCAATTTTCTCAAGAAATCCAGTCTAATTACAGAAATATAAATGGATTTTATATAAAATTATAAATATACATGGCACTATCTCAATATTAAAATTTAATTCTATAAAATTTAAATTGATTGTCTAAAGTGATTGGCGGGGTGCGGAATCGCGTGCCGGTCGGGAGACGGAATCGCCTCGGTGGGCTTTACATGGATAAAATTGAAGGCCTGAACCTTTAAGGGTGGTGGTGGTACAACGTCTACACATCTCTTGGAGGGTCTTATTTTAATAAAAAATAGAAAATAAATAAAAATATCCGACGTCTTTCGTCCACGGGGAGGGGCGGCGGTTCCGTGATTTCCGACGGTTTCGGTTTTATCATTTAGTATGTACCATTGGAATTAATATCAAAGCAGAAAATGACCCAAGTGGTTGAATGCCTTTATTTATTCATTAGAAAATTAAAAAAATAAATAAACGAGTGCATGAGTCCTGAAATTTTATTGCGAGCTTATTTTTATTAAAATGTTGTCTGGTTGTACATTATTATAGAATGTCCTTGTTTGTAAAAACTAAGGAAAACCAATCTTTGTATTTCTTGGAAAAAAAATTCCTTTTGAAATTTTAATTTGTCCTAACAACCAGCGTAAGTTTATAATTATTATTTTATTACTAATTATAAATTATTAATTTATGTTCTAGCTGCCTTTATGAATGACTTATTCAACCATACCAGCCAATAAATAATTTCTTCAAATTTATGAAACATTTATTGATTACAGTGTCACGTTGACACGTTGTTCACAAAAATTAACACATGAAGGACTCGATTGTTGTCATAACTGATTCAATTATGTATGCTTTTATTTGTATAATATAATGCAATTCAATGATTTAAATTTGATATTTTTACAATATACTTTGAAATTATCGAACGGTTTAGGCCAAGTACAGCCTTGACTACACTTACAGTGTAACAAAAAGCAACAAAACGCATTGTTATAAAATTTAATTAATTATTTTAAAAGTTCAAAGCCTTGAAAACGGATTTTTCCTTTGAAAGAAAGAGACGAATCTCGTATTACCCTAATGAAATAAGTTCCAACTTGAAAGGTATTATTAAAGATTTTTGGTTCCCTTATTTAGGGACAAGTTAACATAACGGCTAAATTATATAATAGACCTCTATGGAGGCGTAGTTGGGTTAATGATTAATTAATCTAGAGACTTAATTGCTTTGGTACAACTGAAAACGTAGTATTCAAACATAAATAGGCGTACATTTGGTTAATGAAGAGGAATTTAACAGATTTCCTTGCCCCTGCATGGAAATAAATACAATAAATTATTATTTTTGTTTTGCATTTTCAAACTTTTTTTATGTTTATTATTCTTTAACATGTAGTTTATGGTGTAAACTTGAATTTTTTTCTTAGCTTTATCAACGTGTTTTAGTATAACGTGTTTTTAAGCAAACACGATGAAAAATATTTTAAGAATTCGTAATTTTGAAACGAGTAATGATATCGGTAATTTGTAAACAAAACATTCAATAATGGGATAGATCTGCTGCTACACAACAAAAACACTGAACAAAAATAATTTTTAAGTAATTGGCAAAAGTTATGTTTTTAAAAACTGTTTTCGTTTGTTACGCAAGACGTTTTATATAAAAAGACAAATCAGACATCCAGATGTAATTGAAAACCACTAATGTTGCTTGAAATGTAATTATTTCATTTGGATTTGTTAATTACAATTTTGGATTTTTTTTTATCGAACAATGAAAGAAGGTAAATGATATTTAGAAAAAGTGATATTTCACCAACTATCGCACGTTAATATATTTTAATATTTAAAAAAAAATACTGTTAGTTTTGGTTCTTTGTTATGAAGAAGGAATATTTCCTGCCACTCATATCGAAAGAGCGTTTTACTGGGAAGATTGGTCTGGGTTATTATTATTAAAATATTACTTACGATGTACCATTTTGAAGATTTGAAAGAAAAATCATACCTTTTCGATGGGACAGTGTTATTTGGTTTTATTTTTTCAGATATTTCTAGATGGTGGATTTTTTCAAAACTGTTTTACGGACTTTGACAAGTGAAAAATGGTTAAAAAACTTTTTTTAAATCTTCTTAGTGTGTTTTTTTTTTAAACAAAAAGTTTATGCAGTTCTGTATTACCTGTGCGAGTTGTGAGCGGTCATGTTGTACTGGAAGAAGAAGGCCACGTGAAAAGGGGGTTGGCTACAAGTGGCTGGATGTTTCGTGGCGCAAGCGTTTTCCCCTTCTACCCTTCGACACCGCCGCTTTTTATCATCCGCAATTTCCACCCCTAAACGTCGGCCGTCTACGTCTGTATACCGACGTTCCCTGGAGGGGCTGACAAATTTATTAATGGCAATTTAAAAGACGGGGTGATAACGTCCCTGGGGGGCTCCTGGCTCTAGGCTTTGCAAATTTTTCCATAATTTATATTGGCGTATTACATCCAGCGATTGTTCTTGAATACGCGAAAAAAAGTACAAATTCAGAAGAACGTTAGTTATTTATTCAATTCACGTAAAAACTAACTTACAAAAGACCTCTCTTTACTAAAAAAAAACCTCGAGTAACCTCGTTTAGATGCCTGAGAAACATTATTTAGGTTGTAAAGAAGTTCACATTCCTTGTGTACTACACCTGACTTTTTAACTTCATTTTTAAGTAAAAAAATTAGAAAAATCAACGAGATGCCCAGAGTCTTAATCTTGAAATTAAAGGTCCAATATACGTTACATTGGAACATAATACCACTCGTCTTGCAAAAACTAAGTGATAATAGATTTTGGAGAAACAAAAGGGGCTATAGTATTCTATTTGGCTATTGAATTTGAAGTTTAACTTTTAGGGTATTATGTTAAATGTGTATTAAATGCCTATCTTAAATGTTGTTACATGTTTAGAAAAACATTTCACAAGTTTTCTTAAGTTTTGATTGTTAATAATATTGATAAATCTTGCTTTTTTTAATTGTAAAGAAAAGCAACAAGAAAGGGTTTCTGGTTTATTTTTTTCAACGTGCCTTGTAAAATCGTTTTATGAAATTAAATTGTATCATGTTTTAACAAACTTTTTGATTTTTTCTTTCTCAATCTTATTCGATTCTTCCTTACTGATTATTTTGTGAACACCTCCATCATAAACTAACATTTGGTAAGTAAATAAAATCTAATTATGTGATATTATTTAAAAAAAGCATTTCAGGTGTCTTACAAAATATTTACAAACTTAGGAAAATTAATTTAAATGAATTAAAAAATTTGTCAAACAGTAATGTATAGTAATGTCACAGTTTCAACAGTCAAGAATGAATAAACCATCCCACAAACGTTAAATAAATTAGAAAGGTATGCAGAAAATTTCTGCCACAGTCACTTTTTAAACAAACCTCGACCCCCTTCAGTCTCATACTCTTTCCAGCATTGGCGAATTTCTTTACTAGGAAAGAGATTTGTAAATTAGTATATATTCTAATATAAACTGCAATAGAAAATGTTTTTCAATCAAAATTCGAAGAGTGGTATCCCAAGGAACATAAACATTTTGCTTCAACGAGAGCAAGATTGTAAAAGAAAGAAAAAGATAGATAAATTGAGAAATAGATAGATAGACGGAGAGGGAGAAAACGTGAGTGAGAGTGAGAGAGAGAGAGAGAGAGAGAGAGAGAGAGAGAGAGAGAGAGAGAACAAGAGAGANGAGAGAGAGAGAGAGAGAGAGAGAGAGAGAGAGAGAGAGAGAGAGATAGAGAGAACATGTGAATGAATAAATAAGATTTTATTCATGTCTCTGAATTGAGTGTAATTTCATCACTCTCTTCCATCCAAAGAGAAAGAAACATAAACCGATAGATAGATGCATAGAGATAGAGATAGACAGAGACAGAGAGAGAGAGAGGGGGGGTAGAGAGAGAGAACGTGTGAATGAATAAATAAATAAGATTTTATTTATAGTCTCAGAATTTAGTACAAGTCGATCACTCTCTTCCATCCAAAGAGAGAGAAACATAAACCGATAAATAGATACATAGCGATAGACAGAGGGAGAGGAGATGAGGGAGTGGGAAAGAGATGGGGAGAGAGAGAGAGAGAGAGAGAGAGAGAGAGAGAGAATGGTAATGAGATTAAATAAACAAGGTTTTACTTCAAAATTCCAGAAATTGGTTTAATTTGATCTATATTGAAATAATGATATTTGGCCTGATATTTATGTCGGTGAGTAACAATGGTGAATATTCCAGACTTTTACACCGCGCACACACATAATCGTAAAAGAGGTATCATCCTCTCCTGAATAAGTATTGATACTGCGAGCTTACAATTCACAGATAATTTTGAGCAAAAAATCATGTGTCCGCCTGAAGAGAAAGATTACTCTATGTATCTTACTTGAAGTGGGTCAAATCTTGTCCCCAAATATGGGGACAAGAATTTACCCCTACATACGAGAAAGAACGTAAGTAGTAGATACTTAACGTAGTTATTTATCCATCTATCTAACTGCCTGTAATATACATTTTTTTATTTCTCTCTTGCTCTATCTCATTCATTCATTCTTTCTCTCTCTCTCTCTCTCTCTCTATCTCTCTCTCTCTCTTTCTCCCTATTTTTTATCACTGTTACATCCACCCACCCTTAGTTTTTCCCTTATGCGTCATTCTCCGTTGTCTGTGAATTCTTCGTTAAGTCAAAAATGTTAAAATAGATTGAGTATGTATAAAATATAACACAAAAAACATATTCTTTCTATGTTCAACTTAGCGGCTAAACAATAATTCACAATGTCTAGAATATGATTGCATTGCATATATGAATGTAATATTTTTACATTAGTAAACGAAGATTATACGAAAATAGATTGTTTCATGGAAGTATTGGTACGATAACGTATATCATTATCGTGTGTAGGGGTTAATTTAATCTTATCATAAGCTTTTAAGTTGTTTGTAAAACGTCACTGAGAAAATAGAAAAAGCTAAACTTTGATCGGATAGATATTTGACCATTTTTTGTACGGACTTGCCATCAATTATTTGTTTTTAAAAAGTCACTTCGTTTAAAAATACTTCTCTCTTGTACTTACAATCAAATCGCCTTTCAGGTCCATGTTTCGCATGTAGAAATGGATCAAATATGTTCTAAACGTTTGATCCTAGTGGGAAACTTTTTGGTTAACAAGTAATTTATTTTCTAAAGAAGTAATTAAAATCTAAATGGACTTATTCGGATTAGCGCTAATGTTAATTATCAGTTTGTACAAAGGTTTAATAGGGTTTTGTACGCTTTCAAGATTGAGCTAAAAGGCACGAGTATTAATTTATGAATTTTGTACCAAATATACTTTAATAAACTACTTTAGGTGACCATATAGTAAAATTACTACTAATTATTTTATATTTTTCCAGATTATGTTATAAAAATGGAAAGAGTGTTTGGCGATTTACGTTCAATACCACGTCCATAATCAATAAACCTTTAAAGTCAATATATTCACCTCATACATTGATACATTCTTTGTAATAATTCAGTTATCTAACAAGAAAAAACCGGTAGTTAAGGCAATCATGGGAGAATTGTTAGGCTTAGAAGGCTTAGAAGATTTTTGCGGTGGAAGTTTCATGTCGCAGTGTGATAACGACCGAGATTCCCAGCCTCGAGTTCAAAGCACAACGTCCCAAAATCCTTCCTTTTAGATTGAAAACAAACGGTCCTTGACACGTCTCGGCTTGTTAAAAATGACGGAAAAGAAACCACCTACCACATGTTTAAACACCCTGGCGGAAAAATATTGCGATCGGCTTACTGTTAAAAATCCGCTTACAGTAATGTCGATATTTTCTTCAGACGGAATATCAACGATGATTGTATTTCTTGTTTGGGTAATAAGTTCATCGTTAAATGCAAAGAATTTGTTTAAATGTTGTTTATAGTTCTTTTGTTAATATTGTATTTGGGATTATTTATGTTTTCTTTCGACAACCAACAATGTCATCTTATATCTTAATAAAAAAAAAATTGCAGTTTATTGTTTAGAAGAATTACGATTTTATTGTATTTATTTTTCAATTATAAAAATGATGTATACATAAAACGGTGTTACCGTGTTTAAAGGGACCTGTTGGATGAATGAATAAATCAGTATCGTTCACTGCTTTCAATATAATTTTGAATATTTTTCATTGACTTATTGGTGTAAAAAGTTATGCAACCGAACAAACAAGAACTAACGCCCAATTAATCATAATCATTAACAAAAGAGAAAAAACAAAGGTACACCATGAAGGGACGTCAACCAGCATTGTTATATCGGCTTGAAGGTTAGATGAAATAGGCTTTATGATGCAATACAATTCATTTTATTAGATAATTGAAATGGCATAAAATATATCTAAAAATTTGAGAAAAGTTCAAACGTTTCCGTTGATTTTCTAAGACATACTCATACTATATTTTACATAAAGTGAGCAAACTTGTTTCGCCGTTCTGTATGTTACATTTGAAAAAACAAAAACGGTATAATGTCCACTTAGATTGATTATGATTTTAAAAATTTAAAAAAAAATCCTTTTTCTCGAAGTCTTCATATCCATACACATTTTCCCAAGTCTAGCGGCAAATAATAAATAATATACAGATTATACGTTTTGTAGTTGCATCTGCTGAAAATGGAAAATACAGAAAAAGAAACTGCATTCAGACAAATAACAGTTCGTTGATTCGGTACCTGTAGGAATTTTTAAATCTAAATGTATGTGAAGGGAAGTATTGTTCAATCACGCCCTGTGGAGTCTCGAGTATTCTGGGAGAGTGAATGTGTCTTAGACTTCTATGTTATTATCGGGTGTTCTGTTTATGTTAATTTTTTGGAATGAATGTAATTTATTAGCGTGAAAGGAAGTTGGTGGTTAACCCGGCTCTCTGTAGTACTCTGGGGGAGTGAATGTGGCTAGACTTCTATGTTATTATGGGGTGTTCTGCTTATGTTAATTTATTGGAATGAATGTAATTTATTAGCGTGAAAGGAAGTTGGTGGTTAACTCCGCTCTGAGGAGTCCGAGTACTCTGGGGGAATGAATGTGTCTTAGACTTCTATGTTATTATCGGGTTTTCTGTTTATGTTAATTTATTAGAATGAATGTAATTTATTAGCGTCAAAGGAAGGGATTGGTTAACCCCTCTCAGATTATTCTCCAGTACTCTAGAATTCTATCATTGTGGTGATGTATATATGTACAGTATGTTTTGTGTCTATTCTGTAGTTGTCAACCTTAGGTAAGGAGGACAGGCTACCATTTTAGGATATGGACGTAGTTTTAAGCAAAAGCAGAGAATCAATAACCAATTCGAGACGCTCAAATGGCTGCAGTTTAAAATAAAATACGCGTGAAAGACCATAAAAAGAAGGAAAATACGCAGAGGCCCGGCGATACTCAGCTGTTTGTCGGCCCATAAACCTCCCTCTTTATAAACACAGTTCCAATCTTTATAAAATGAAACCACTCTTAACGGGCAATTTTTGCATTCTCCAAAAAATGAAAGCATTTTTTATTTCAAATTTCACACCTCTATAACGGAACCAACCTAAATATGTCGCGGATATTGCTGTCAGTTCCCATCAGAGCAATTTGCCCCTTTAGAATGGATGTAAACATTCCAGTTCCATGTGAAAAAATATTCGTGGCGATAATTTTACTTTTTTTTAAGTTAAAAATGTTTAAGGAAGATACGCTAGGTATCGCACGTAATCCTTTAGTAAGAAATAATGAAAACCTTTTAAGTTTTGTCTTTTGACAGAGATTGAAACCATTCATGATGATGACGATGAGCGTGATATCGCTTCCCCAGTGAAGTAGTGAGAGGGGATATCGCACTCTAATCTCTTCAATTTTAGACTGAAGTTCAAAGCAGCGGTGTGTTGCTAAAACGGTAGACGTAATTGTTTTTTATTCATCTCAGTATGTCTGCACTTTGTCCAGGTTGGCTTGGCTGTGTTGCCATGACATGATAGTTGATACGTATACAGTATATACGTCTCATTCTCCGCACACATCACCTTTCTCGTCCAGCATTTGCTAAACACTTTTGCATGCCCATAACAGTAACATACAAAATTTCATATCTATACTTGATACTGCAATCGTAACATAACAAAACTATGTCTATACCTTTCCTATGACCGTAACGCGTCTAAAAATGTTGATCAAAATAGAGATTTCGAGATTACCTCTTACATACAAACAAATTTTCCCTCTTTATTATATTAGCACAGATAGCACTAACATATCACGATCGATCAGTTATACGCAAACGTTATTCTAGGTTTCTTTCTTTTTCACATTATATTTATTGTTACTTATTGAATTGCCTAATATTCTATCTCCCATAATAGAGTTTGAAATTTTTCTAAGCCCGGAAAAGAAGATGTCACAATTTAACTACAGCTGATACCAAATTGTAGTGAAGATGTGTGCATGGGTTGTTGAATAACAGGTCGATCAACTCTGATTACCTTCATCTGCACATTCTCGCTGCCCTTTAGCCAAAAGATAGAGAGAAATAATTAGGTATTTGTTTGGCCTATGATCTTTGTATTAGTATCCAATTAAAAGGTTAATTAGTTCTTTGTTGATGGCGATGGCTATTAATAGTTTTGGTTTTGCTGTTTGTTTGATCTGTTATTTATTAATTATTCAATTTAATTAGTATATAATGTTATATAAATTATTCATTTTTTTATAAAATTACATTTAAATTAATTTAATCATTACTATTGAACAATATGGAGACAGTGCTAAATTTATATAATCTGTATTAATTTGCGTCCAAAGTTGAATATATTTGGACTGAACCACTGTTAGTTTAAAAATACATCGAGAAAAAGCGAAACAGAACGATCCGATTTTATAAAAATGGCAGTTCAATCATGAAAAATTATATGTATACAAATAATAAGATAGTTGAAAAATTAACAACAAATACAACAAGTCGGTGATAAAATTCCTGGTCCGTCACCCTTCGCTGGATTTGGATTTTTGGGGTACCATTCTATCTGCAATATTTGACCTGGATAATATTGCGAAGAAAAGGATTCAGGATTGGTAACAACTCTGTATTTCCGTAGTTATTTCAATTCAACGGCCGATTCTCAACCGTGTACTTTTTTTTGGGGGGGGGGGTCGTGGAGAAGGGATCTCTATTTTATTTTGTGTAATTTTTCATTGCATTTACAGCCACCTAAAGCAGACCAAAGTTTGTTTGTTCATCCTTAAACAAATCTATGGATTACTGACAATATTGTCAGTTTTGTGAAACTTACACCAGGGTTCTGCAGGGTGATGATGAAAGCAATGGTTTTGATCGACTTTTAGATTTTCGGGATTTCGCCATCATCAATTTGTTTGACACAAGAAAAATATCAAAAACAGAGACACTGCATTGACCAAAATAATCAAAACCGACCTAGTATTTAATTCTTTACTCCGCAGGCCTCAGAATGATATAACATCATCCTTACGTATTTGTTAATCTGTATTTTCTCTTATTTAAGGTATTTATTTCTTAGGTTGTCTAATTACCTCTAACTAATGTTGTTTTATTCTAAATATGTCCATTTGATCGACTGCGTTATAACCGTAACATTTTTCTTAATCATTTTCTTTATATTTCTGTTTTTTGTTTTTGCTTGTTGCAAGTTTGTTGCTGCCTTGCTAATTTTTAGACGTTCGAGTGACACTCTATTTATTGGAAATTGTTCATACTTAAGACAAATTTATGGATAATTGATAAAAGAACCAACTTTGAACATGTCGTGACCAGTACAGGATGAAAGTTAATCAGCGAGATTAGTAGGTAAGATCGGACACAACCGAGCAGTAGCTAATATTTTTACCTCTTACCTTGTCTATCTATCTGTTTTATTATCTTTTTTTTCACATCATTTTTAATCATTCTATTTTATATTTTTTTATTTTATTGATTTTTGTGCTTGTCAGCTTTCTGATGTTCGACTGTATTTCTATTTATTGGCAATTTCGTCAGTTCAAGCTTAAGAAAAATTTATACCTTGTTGATAATATTATTTCTAGAGATTTCTTCCTATAGTCTGAAAAATATTAGACCTTGGTTTATTGTGACTTGGTTTTGTCCAATATTTTGGTCTGTCAGCGGCCCTGAATTCGAATCCAACATACTTACATTTTTTTTCCAAAAACGCCGAGCCCCGGGTTGACATAGCTCCGGGGGCTATTGAGAACTCCGAAAAAATTTATAATAACAAAGTGTATATATTAATAATAAATAAAATTAAAAAATAAATAAAAATGAACATATCATTAGATTTCTTTCGATCTGCGGAGTAAAATGACCATTGAGTCATTTCTTATCAATTGGGTCTGAGGCGTCTCGCTTTTTTGCACTGGGTCCTGATGATGGCGTAATCCCGAATTTTTTTGTTTTTAACAAGATTATTTGAATACAGTAAATTACCCAGTGCTCTTTCAAAATTAGTTCTATTACGTACTTGCTTTTCTGTCTTATCTCTAGTATGTATACCTCTTAGTATGTATATTTTTCAGCTGTCTACCTAACTGTGCTATTCTATATATGGAAAAAGAATAGTGATAACATTTTTCTTATCATAATGTCTTTTATCTCCCCGATTCGACGTTTTGACAAGATTTTTCGACGTTCGATTTTAAAATTATTTATGTCCCTCTTTTACTTTTTGTTTAGTAAATTATTTGTTCGATAATATCACTGATTATTCACACTTTCAAATTTTTATTATTATGTGTTTATAAACAGGTTTTTTAATGTGTTTATAGCGATCGCGGTGGCCGAGTGGTCTGGGCGCCCGACTCGTATTTTCCAAGCTAGAAGTTCTGTATTCAAATCCTGACAATGCCCATAAATTTTATTTGAGAATAATGTGAAAAAATATTGCAATGTGTTTTGATTTTCCCGTCCACGATACCCCACGGGTAACTACAGTTAAGCATTCCTGGTATTTGACCTTACTATATTTATTATTATTTGGAGATAGTGAGATGCGATATGGTGTGACGTAGGTTCAGAAAAACATTTTCTTTATCGTGCCAACGTTTCGATCTTTATTGAGATGATCTTCAGGGCTCAAAGTGTTTGTTTTCTTTGTAGATGTGTCGTGTTGAGAGTGACCAAAACATAACAGCATATGTACAAAGAAAACAAAACTTTGAGCCCTGAAGATGGTCTCAATAAAGATCGAAACGTTGACTCGATAAAGAAAATGTTTTTCTAAACCTACATCACACCATACCGCATCTCACTATGTCCAAATAACTAATCAAATTAACAGTCACTAAACTCCACATATTGTTATTATTTTACACAATATATGCATGAAACTTTCATGTTCAAAAGTTTCTAACAGATAAAACGCGACTTAAATATCAAAACGGTCATAAGTAAGACAAAAAGCAGACGACTAAGCTAGTTGAAAAAGTATCGACAAACACGTCGTTTATTACTTTTTGGTCCGTTTTTTCAAGCTGTGTTTCATTTTCGGATTATCTCCTTATCCACCCAAGCGATGGAAAGGTTAAGAATTCGATTGTTAGTACTCGTAACCAATATTTTTTTTCTCCCACATCTCTTACAGAATTCTAAAATTATAGTTATTAATTTATTATTATTCCAGGTAATCGTCTCCGGTTTTAAACCACGACGTACGTCTTTCTTGTTTTGTAACATATATTGCAATTGTAAATTGTAATATATACATGAATTATGTAGACATCCCTCCTAGTGTTTGTACAAAAATAAAATAAAATTCAAGCGTAATGTAGAAATTTTGAAAATTTGACTGGCCTAGTTTAATATTTATGGCTAAATAGTTAAAATTACTGTATTTCTAATAATGCATAGAGCCATTATACTCAAAAGACAATCTAATCTAATAAATTTGGCCTTTATTTACAAATGAACTTCGTTTTTTTAATTTTTTAATTTTTATTTTTTTTCCAGGGCAGCGTTATGTAGGCAGATGAAATGATGTAGTTATGCTGTGTTTATGTCATTTTTTACTTCAGGTTTCTTGCTTATTGTTGGCTTTCTTTTTGCTTTACTTATTTTTATGTGTTATATTATAGATTGTTATTTATATCGTCGACGTTGAGTATGTTGACGTTGTGGACTTGATTATCCTGGACTCTATTCTGGACGGATCTCTGGGCGTCTAAGGCAAGTAGCTTCTGCCGCTTTTCCTCCATGAGACGGTCCCTGTGCTGGTGAATATAGTCACGGACATTCGGGAGGCCCATTATGACAGAGGCCGATAACGCCGATCTGTAAATATTCATGTCGGTCGCTTCGTACCTTTCAACAACAATACTTTTAATGTTAATAATTTAAAATAGAGAAATTTTTATATTACACATTGGATAAAATACCAAATTACACTTATAAACAACCTAAATTTGATTAATAAAAAAAAACTGTTTTCCAAGATGTACCTTGTCTGAAAATAATTACATAGAAGGTAATGTTTCTCATATATCTTTGTTTTCAACACAGCTTAAAATTGATGGTTCCATTTCCTCCTTTCCCTTACTCACCATAAGTGCTACAAAATTGAATTGCCCTTTTCATATGTTTTCATTTATAACAGAAAGATATGGGAAAGAGTGTTTAATTGTTTAGAAAATTAGATTTCTATTTGCCTATAATAAATTGAGTATAAAATTATAGTGCATAACTTCAAACTTTAAAAACAACCCTATCCCATAAATAATAATTATCTTTTACCAATGTAGGTGTAGTTATAGTCAACTAGAAATCTAATTTTCTAATAAACTGAGACGATCACCGTTTTCACTGAATATTTATGTGTTGTTCTAAATCAAAACTTTACCAGAACTTTTTGTTATATATGTTTCAATTATTTGTGCACATATTTTACACAATTCTAAAATCTATTTATTATCATTATAGAAATATCTTCATATTGCAAATAAACATTTTTTACATATATCATTATAATTGATATATTGTAATTGAAGGATGCAATTCCTTGGGTCCATATAGAGAACGCGTAGGTATGCGACCATATTTAAAAACGGCAGCGAGTATTTCGGTTCCCTGTTCCGATTCTTGGAGGAAATGGGGTTGTTCGATTACATATAGTAATAATATTTGCGTCTTCCTAGCTTGTGTGGAGAGTGAATATATTTATTAGCGTGAATGTGTGATGTGAGAATGTCGATGACGGAATATCGAGTACCCCATCGACCTTTAATTAAGTTAGTGTAAAATAAATGTAAAGGTTGTGTTGAGAATGAATGTATTTATTAGTGTGAATGTGTGATGTGTGAGGTCGATGGCGAAATATCGAGTATCCATCGACCCTCAATTAGGTAAGCTGTATAATACTAGCTAGTATATACTACTAGATGTATAGTATGTATAAAGTTTCCAGTTGAATGAATGGTATGTAAATAGGAGTAATGTATTTAAGAATGAACATGAGAACGAATGGGTTTGGAACTGCATGCGTTGGGTGCTGAATTGATGTAGCTGCTGATAGCCCAAGAGCGCAACCTCTGCGGCTGGATGGATAAGACTGAGGTCTGCCCCGGACGTGGGTGATTCTCAAGCCTGCCAGGAGTCCTTAAATAGCAAAACTGGAATTGCCGCTGAACTACGAGAAGCGAATAGCCAACTGGGCACATATTTGTATGTAAGGACGAGCATGTGCGGATTTGAGCCTACATAAATCCAAAATTACATATGTAAATTGGTACCTCTGCTACCATTTCAGGCAAGCAACTTAGCTGGTTACTATTGGGTTGTCCGGAAAATAATGCAGGATTTTGGTATTAAACAAAAAAAAAAGAAACTAGTTACTTTAAAGCAATGTTCTTTAATCAAAATAATTTCCCATACTCTCAATACATTTCTCCCAACGTGTTGGTAACTTATTAATTCCGTCTGAGTAGAATTCAGAATTTTTAGAATTGATAAAGTCAATAAATGCATTTTCCAGTTCCGTTTGATTTTTGAATATTATGTGTTGTAAGTAGTGGTCCAGGTGTCTAAAAAAATGGTAGTCAGTAGGCGAGAGGTCCGGAGAGTAGGGTGGGTGAGGCAAAGTTTCATAGCCAAGCTCCAATAATTTTTGTGACGTTACACGTGACACATGTGGTCGAGCGTTGTCATGCAACAAAATGGGCCCTTTCCGATTGACCAAAGAGGGCTTCATTACTGCCAATTTCTGATGCATGGTATTAATTTGGTTACAGTATGATTCAGCATTGATGGTTTCGCCAGGATTTAAGAAGCTGTAGTGTATTAAACCAAATGAAGCCCACCATACCGTAACCATTACCTTTTTTTGATGAGTTGGGGGCTTTGGAAAATGTATTGGAGCTTCTCCTTTGTCGAGCCACTGTCCAGAACGTCTAGTGTTATCGTAGAGAATCCACTTTTCGTCACATGTAACAATTCTGGCCAGAAATGGGTCATTTTTGTTTCGACAAAGAAGTGATGCACAAACATCAAAGCGCTGATTTTTTTGGCGATCGTTTAATGAGTGTGGAACCCAATTTTCGAGTTTTTTCACTTTTCCAATCGCCTTGAGGTGGTCAGCGACGGTCGTTTTACTGACTTTGAGTTGCTCTGCAAGTTCTCGAACAGTTGTTTTGGGGTTTTCTTCCACCACTGATCGCAGAACATCATCATTAAGAGAGGAAGGCCTTCCACGACCTTCTTCATCTTCAAGGCTGAAATCTCCCTCCCGAAATTTTTTAAACCACCTTTGCACAGTGCACTCATTAACACAACCCTCGCCCCAGACTTGGTTAATGTTTCTAGCCGTTTGGGCTCCGCTTCGGCCGAGTTTAAACTCGTAAAAGAAAATCGTACGAAATTCTCGCTTTGACATTATAAGGATGACTGAATTATTTCCAAGTAGCGGAATGCTACAGAGGTAAACAAACAATATCATTTGGAAGAGGATTAATAAGTGTTGACATTCATACAAATGAGTAATCCTGTAAACGTAAACAGAATATTTTATATAGATTTTTTTTAATGAAAACTTAAAATCCTGCATTATTTTCCGGACAACCCGATACTACATTAGTACTAACACTACTAAAAGTTTGTTGAAAATCGTATAGTGGATAAAGTCACCTTGTTTAATGGTCGTGTAATTTAATTTTTTTATTAGGTAGTCCCTGCCTGAAGCGGTAGCAGCGGTCATAACTTACATTTTTTACACAAGTTACTTATTGCTATTTCTGGAGGCCAAATCTTATAATACTGATACTAAATGAAACCATCAATATCTGATCAATCAGATCAGCGTTTTGATCAATAGGCACAACTTTGAATCGGATATCAAAATTAAACTCTTAGGATTAACTTATCTTCCGGAATTAGCACCACTACGTATCTTCTAGACTAGAGCTATAAGTTTCAGGTTCAGGGTCAGGCTCCTATAGTTACATGCATTGAAAGGAGCAATCAAAACTTTAGGATGAACTTCCACGTAGAGCAGTTTAAAGGGATGCCTGTGGACGCCATATCTCCAAGATACCCAATAGAAAAATAGAAAATAAACCGAAGACTAGAATTTTTAAAAACCTAGGATGGTATGTCGCTGTCTTTCAGGTGGAGACTACGGCTATTGAACACTGTGCTTAAGGGGACCCGGAAAAGGTGTTGCGTCCGGCTGCTATAGTTACATGCATTGAAAGGAGCAATCAAAACTTTAGGATGAACTTCCACGTAGAGCAGTTTAAAGAGATGCCTGTGGACGCCATATCTCCAAGATACCCAATAGAAAAACAGAAAATAAACCGAAGACTAGAATTTTTAAAAACCTAGGATGGTATGTCGCTGTCTTTCAGGTGGAGACTATGGCTATTGAACACTGTGCTTAAGGGGACCCGGAAAAGGTGTTGCGTCCGGCTGTTATAGTTACTTGCATTAAAAGGAGCAATGAAAACTTTCGGATGAACTTTCACTTAGAGAAGTTTCAAGTCACGTATTTCAAAAATACCTAATAGAGCAGAAAGGATCCCATGTAAGCTATAAAGCTGGTATATAAAAAAATGAAAAACAAACCAAAGACTAGAATTTATATAAGCCATTGACGGTACGTCACTGTCTTTCAGGTGGAGACTATTGCTATTAAACACTGTACTAAAGAGTTCAAAAAGGCTGTTATTATTAAAGGAAGAATAGCCATCTACTTGGACAGTCAGGCCTTTGTCAATGTGAAACTAAACATAAAATCTACAGTTCCAGCCGCCAACCAACCCTGCGTAAGACTTTCAACATGAATCGATGACTTATTAAGGAAACATAATTTAAAAAAATTCCCCTAACAGTGATAAGGCAAGATACCTAACTATTTGATCAACGGTTTCTAGTCTATTAAATATTATTAATTGTAAACTTTTTAAATTTCGATGTCGTGAGTAAAAAATGTACATTCGACTATGATCAAATCGTTTTCTGGATGAGGTTGACATATGCCAATATTGTAAAAGGTCCCCGGTTGGTATTATCTGGTTGTGGTCGAATAGTTTTCTTTTTTATCGACAAAGGAATCACAATTTATCGACGTGCGACGTTAATGTTGGTGTATTTTTTATTTTTTGATTTTGTAGTGTTGTTTATGTTTGGTGAGAGTCACGCAAGTGGAGTGGATCGTCCCTGGGTAAAGTGCTGTCTCAAACCTTGTCGAAAATGTTTCATAGACGGGTAAAGAAAAATATATAGAAAAAAAAAAGCAAACACTATGTGACAAGGTAGAGAAACGAAAGACATAAAGAAATAGATATTACTTTTGTTGCACAATAAATTAATTTAAAAAATAAAACAAGTATTCATTTACAGCGTTTCCTTTTCTCCCCCCGTTTTCATGCTGAAATTGCCACTACTAAGCAATTTCAAATATTTGGAATAAACGTGGATAATGAAATGGTACTTAGGCAAATTTACTAGGCGGGAATGATACTTGTAGTTAGATACGAATTTCATACTATCGACATATTTCTCTTGATGCTTTTATACATTATTAATGAATACGATATCGATCCTGTTCTTTCGATACCGTTTTCCTAGGCACAGTGTACTTGTGGGCGCAGTATAAGAACTCCTATAATCAATCAATCAATTATTTTTTTTATCAAGGTAAATTTTAAACCTTTTCGTTTCAACATTAGTCAATACAATTTACTTTTTACAGTTGGCAAAATGGAAATGAACCAAAAATTATCTTAGCTTCCTCCGAGGGAAAAATACAGCCGAACGCCTTCTACGACATTTCAATTAAAAATATTTTCGATATGCCACTCGAGAAATTTGAATTTTCTCATTTTCACGAAGTTGAGTAGGTTGAAAATTATTTTGATTTAAAAGATCTTAAGTTTATTTTGGAAGAAATAAGTCAGGAAATTAATAATATATTTGGCAAAGTACCATCGCAGATTTTACATGATTTAGATGTTTTAACAGTTGATTTCTTTTCAACTTAAACTATATGAGAGTGAGTTTATATTTCTTTAGATGTTTTCTATTTTTGAAATAGTTTTAATAGTAATAATAAAATATTTAATGAAAGATAAATTTTTTAAACAGGTATTTTGTTTTGGGTATAACTGTATATTGGGGACGGAAACAATTGCATTAACTTATTAAGCTCGATTCAGAAACCACTTCGTCGATTTTCCCCTTGTTAAATCCCAACGGCAAACAACTGTTACAATTCCTTTTCGCCAAATCCCATCGCGATAGGCCAAAACCTAAACCGCCCAACTCGGCCAAAATGTTTTTGCCAACCGCAAATTTCCCTTCCGAGAATAGCCACTTCTTATAAAATCTTTGAAATAAAGTTTTATCGATTGGTTCTTGCTAATCGCCCTGGCTCACTCTGGTTAGGGAGTCGCCTTTTGTGAAATTATCCGCTCGAGTTGGGGCTTAACATGAAAGCAAACCGCTTCAATTTCAAGTAACATTGCTTTAATTATTTTATATATTTATGAAAATTAATCGTAGCAATTATATAAAACTTACCATTCGTTGGGTTTGTCGTCGTAGCATTCAACATGGTATATGGTCGTAACTCCGTTAAATCCTCCTATTGTGAATATCATATCATCTATAACTTCGATAGCGAAGTTACTCCTTGGGTTGTACATGTCTGGAATAGGTGTCCAGTTGTTATTGGCTGGGTTGAATTTCTCACCGCTACACATCCTCGAAATGCCATTAAACCCCCCTGGAGAAAAACAAAACAAATTTACTAACTAAATACAACATTGAAATCATGTAAAAAATCACATCTTCAGCATCGACAACCTGATTTTTTTATCATTTTTCTATTGTTAGTTTTATATCAACATTAAATATGCAAATTTGATTAGCTGATTATTATAAAATTATTACAGAAAGAGCGAATAGAAACACCTTTGCTAATATGTTACTGGTTTGAATAGATTCAACTGTCCACTGAGAATGGGTGGAGTGAAAATGCCTTAATGGCAAGAATAAGTATAAGCCATACAAGAAAAAGACAACTACTGACCGGACAAAGACCGCTTAGAAAGTTTGACGTATACAGAAAATACTTTCGTGTATTGCCAGATATGTCGATAATTTTCGGGTACCTCAGGGCTATATGAATTTTGTTTTGTTTATGTTAATTTATACGATTAAATATAGTTTGTTAGAGTCACGGGGACAGGATTAGTTAACCGAGTGCTCTGGCGTGAGTGAATGTAACCAGACCTCTTTTTTGCATGGAGTGATGAACATGCATGGAAAACCTCTGTCAGTATTTACAGGGCCAAGAAAACTCTAACTTAAATTTGAGATAATCTCGAAAAAGTTGCTCTTTTAAGTGATTATGTATTTTGTTTGCTTAACGTTGTAATAAAAAGAATAAATGAGTATGGTTTTCAACGCTCTTTCCATTGATGTGACCAAATTAACAGTAGAATTCACTTAATGAGATACGGGGAACTTAGAGAATAAAGTTGTAAAAGGTTGAAGTAAGTTGAAAAGTGAAATATCTCGAATTCAGTTGAAAATCAGACTTTGGACAAAAGGGACCTTTTAGTTCAATTTGAAATGTAGGACAACCTCCTAAAATATTGACCTATGTTCAGGGGACCTCTGTATACAGGGTGAAGCGGTTTTAGACGTACCATAGGAAAAAGCGTTAGTTGCGATCAATTTTAGATCACTTTCTCTAAGTATTGTAAAACCAGAGGTGAGTCACATTTCGACGCACCATAATTTGTTTTTTTATAAAAGCTCTACTTCACTGTTTCTTCTGATGTTTACAATTATAGTTACCTCTGTATTAATATTATTTATTTAAAAAATCAATTTTATTCAGCACCAGATTAAATTTTATTAGATTTAACGGTGCCTTTAAAAATGACTTATATTTTAAGAAGAAATTAATTAATGATTAAAAAAAAAGAATTTTATTTATTTTACACAATTTTCAATTGTCTTATATATATGTCACATTCAGATTTAAATGAACCGCCATTGCCCCTCCACACACTCAAACAGTGATAGGAGTAGGGGCCAAGAAAGGGCTATTTTTTTCAAGTCCTAGAACAGATCCCTTTCTGGCTTGTGTGGGTTAACAGATATTTTTGGTAAAAAATAAAAATTTGGTGTGCACACTATTCAAGTAAGTTAATTTTATTACTTTGACGTCAAAATAAAAAATAATAATTGTAATTTAATTTTGAAAGGATAAATATTTTTATAAAGAAGAGTAAAAGAAATAATATTTCATTTTAAAAGTTGTTAATATTTTAATTGTATTTACTAATTTGAAGGTCAA